AGGTTCGTCGACATTGAGGCAGTGCGGCGGGCGCAGGCGGAGGTCGATGCAGCTGAGAATGAAGACTCTGATGGAACCGAAGATGAACTTTCAGAAGTCGTTGACGATTGTATCGTAGCAGGCGTGGGTGGGCGGTGAGAAGCGATTGAATTGATGATCGTGAAATTGGACCATGATAATGGACCATGATTTTTCCGTGGCCCAAATGAGGGGGTGGCCCATTTCTATGTGCAGGGACTTATGCTTTCCTGTTTATGGAAGTTCTACCACGCGGCCATGGCAGGCGAGCGGGGTCAGGCAAGCTGTCAACGCGGCCGGATAACCAACTAGCCGCCCCACTTCGTCACCTCTCAGCTGAGCTGTACCTGGTCAGGGGCCACCATCCATTCGCTAGTGCGACTAAACTGTCGTGGCATGACCAGCTGGCGATCCGTGCCCGCGCTAAACGAATCGGATCTCGATTGCTCGCCCTGATGCGGGGGCCAATGGCCAGCACGCTGACTCGACGGCAACGCGCATTATAGAGGCCTGCCATTGGCTCGGATTTTGCCCAGAGACAGCGAGCAGCATGTCAGCTTCTCGCAGCACACGATAGAGCCCTAACGACGAGGTAAGGCGCAGCAATAACCAGCTTCGTGCGCCTTGTTTAGTTGACTCCGTAATCAAGACACGATGCGAGCCTCGTCGCTAAGAAAAGCCAATAAGAACAATTCTACATAGAAGCTTAGTGGGTGAGTGAGGAAGCAATAAACACACTGGATTGTAGCGTGATAAATGGGATCACACAGCCTTGGAGAACAACAGTCGCGCAAACGACTCGAAACCCTCAGCTGCGCCACGCGGTTGTGCGTCGCCTGCTGAGGTAAGACCGGCGCCCGGGGCCAACACACAGGGCCACGGAATGAATGCTACCGGTTGCGTACCACCAGGCCAGGGGGGGCGGTCGTGCTCACGCGGCTGCCAACCCCGCTTTTCGGTAGGTCAAAGCTCAGGGGGCGGACGGGAACCGGGTTTCCGCGCGCCGCTTCACAGTACTCTAAGATCAATCTACGATGATAGAATGGACGATGTCTACGAGGAGACAGAATGCTCATGTCAAGCACGTTTTCGAACGGATGATGCACTGGACTGTCACCTGGAAGAATACAAAGTTGGCACCTGACGACTCGATCACAAACAAAGCTGACTGAAATACAGTCTCAAGAGCGCTACCACCTCGCCGAGGCCGAAAGATGCCGCCGACACGCAAGAACGACAGACGATGGCTCCCAGGACGCTTTAGATAATGTATCACTGGCTGTGGGCAGAGGGCGAAATAAGCGGTCTCGCCTACCACGCATTTGTCCCCACCCACATTGTGAGAAACAGCCAGCCTTTGGGTCCAGACAAGCACTTCGCCGACATTTCTTAGTTCGTATGTCCATTGTCCACTCTACATTGTGGCTAGGAACTGACAACATAGCAGATATTGACGGTGAAGGGCCTGAAGATTGTGTGGCTTGTCACGAGGTTTTCAGACGCCCCAGCGAAATCGTCCGACATATTGAACAAGCTAATGACAAGATACATAACAATTTGTGTAAAAGAAAGGCCGACTATCTACGAAATACCTGTGTGGATTTGAAAGCTCGCGCTGATGAAGAGCTATATGCTTGGGAAAATTCCGCGGGTAAAGGAAACAAAAGACCACAAGTGAGTTTAAGCTCACGGCCAGCTCGGCGCACCAGAGCAAGGTTGGCCTCTCCGGTCGAAACAACAATGAACGGCTACCCCTCTGATGGCAACAGTATGAACAGTAAGTGCCCCATGCGATCTCTGTTCCAGCTAATTGACACCTGTAGGTGCAATACCTTCAATGCAGCCAGACCCTTCGCTATCCCTGATCCCGAATTCTTCGTCTTACATCGAAGGAGACTTCGATTTGTTAGGTGGCTCAATCATTGCCTCAGACGGAACATCACGAATTGCGACGCACATTGAAACAGCACCTATTTTGGGGGTTCTGAGTTTTCCAAGTTGGATCGGAGACGGGCAATGAGGAGAGCTAATCATTGATTTCCAATGCTGCATCGTCTATGGTCGTTCCCTGACGGTCGCCAAAAGCAAAGTTGAGTCGAATTTTCGGGCATTGATCGCGCATTGTATCCACCCTCGTTCTCAGGCTCGGCAGGTCTCGAAGTTGCATCGGGGGCGGCCGAACCCGAGAGATCAAATCCTCCGTCATCAGTATAACGGTAATTGCGTACCCTTCCCGGATCTCACAGCCAAGTCGAGCATCCAAAATCACTCTGAAGGGTGTCAGGGCCGTGCAATCAGGAACAAGTTGGAACTTACGAGCCACCAGAGCCAAAAACCTTGTTCCTGACCTCACAACCCGCTTCCAAGAGTTCGTCCCGGGAAAGTTCACGTGTTTTTCTAGGGCCGTTGGCAGCGGGGAGCACATGAAGGTGTGACCTGGCATAGTAGCTCACTTCGCATGATTTCGACAAAAATTGAACCATTAGGGCGTCTCGGCCAGCGTCCCGGCCGCCCAGGAAACTCTCAATGTGTCCTGGCAATGCTCCGTACCTCAGGCAGTGTGCGAGAACGCATTGTTTCTCTCCAAAGAACCAATTCGCAGCAGACTGCACAATCTACACCCAAGTTAGATATCGCCACATGTGGTGGACTATACTAACCGAGTTCTCGAGAATGTTCTGCAGAAGGAAATCGAGGCCGTCTTCTGTGTTGAAGGGGAACCCTTTTTGCTCGAGTCGCCACACATGTTCTCCCACAAATTGATCCCCCGTATCAAAGAACCCTTCTTCGAGGACCGATTCTTTGCCAATATCGTGTAAGGTCATGGATGATTCCATGGACTGGAGTTGTTGATACCCGAAAAGCTGCGTGGATGTCTACTGACCAGGCGACCCCTCTTTTGAACCCCTCTCCATCAACTGAAAAGAGAAGGCGGTGACGCTCATTCTTTGCCCCGCATTTATGCCCTACACGTGCATGTGGGACGACTCACTGAAGGTAACTAACTGTCTTTTGTTGAGACAGGACCCGCCGAGCATCGACTTCTGCACAGAATGGGTGTAGCGGCAGAGATAGTATTCGTACCATGGCCGCTGCTTCATTGATTTGTCATGTGCATGTCGCAGCGGCGAGTCCGATACTTAGTGACTGTGGCACAGCTGCGATTACTCGGACATCAGAGGAGTACCGCGGACAATTTGCTACATTGGGCGGCTTTTTGCGATGCGTGCGACTACAGGGTATCATTTGTCGCTGTCTCGTGATGAAGCTGTCACGGGATCAATGACGGCCAATCAGCGCACCTGAATGCCCAGGTTGTAATTGGTTGCCAGGAGCCCTCCCTCGACCACGCTTTAAATACCGCAGCATGGGCCGAACTTGCTTGTCCGACGAACATCCTCCCTCAAGCCCTGCGTGATTGGCCTTTGACGCCACTTCCCAGCTAACACACAGTCACCGACCCAATGGCTGGATGCGAGACTTGCGGCGGCAACGGCTTTCAAGATATGCAATGTCCGACTTGCGGCAAGCCAGCCACAGGTTAAGGCAGACGGTCAATTGATGCAGGTATAGATAGATATAGCACATAATTCAGTAAGAATAACCGATTAACCGAGCTTAGGCGAGTCGGTCAACGCCCTCCTTGGGAGTATTGAAGTTACATACCATACCGCCAGCCGTTGCTTGAACATGCGGTTTTGTAGCAACAGACGGAGGACCTGGCCTTTGATGGATAAGAAACGTTCACGGCACATCGGGCTGCGGCACCGTGATTGATGGGATTTTATTCTGAACAGCTAGCGTAGGAGCTGACAGTGCGCCACCCTTGAAGAGAGGAATAATATGCTCTGTGATACAGGCCCTTGCCGTTGAGGCTGTGTCGCACAAACAGCAAGGCTTGGGCGGTATACCATACTTACTCAGCAAGGTTGTGCATGGAAGTCGGATCCTATAACAGTAGAGTACATGTTAAGGTTGAGCGTCTACATGCGTGTTGTTTTGGACCCTCGTTGAGGTCAAAGCTCACACACGGGCTGTGCCAGGCATCGCCGACAGCCTCATTTCCAAGGATTCTGCACCACAAAGCAGGTCTCTTTTTTGTCTATAAAGAGCCGCGCTTTGACGTGCGTCTAGCTCGAGCTCTTCGAGATAATTGACTGATACCAAAGATGGACCCAGTGGACCCAATTGTCTGACAGGCTGCTTGTCCAATTTTGCAACTAGTGTCTGAGCTTTGACCTCAACAGTGTCAAAGCACAGCGCATGCACATGGTCAATCTTGATGCACCAACTGAAGCATCTGCCAATATTTGAGCCCAAAGTGTTTGCGACATAAGGCTGACTCCAAGCGCGACAAAGATGACCTAACTGAACGCGGCAATATTGAAACACTGTCTTCAATTACTCAGGATCATCGTCCTCCGTGCGCTGGGGCAAAATACTCGCGCTCGAGATCTCAACGTCTCTCGAACTCCCAAAGCCGTCCGTACATATGGTGCGCGTGTTCCGGAGCGAACCCTCTACTTGGTGCTGACTGTTGACGGATCTCCAAGCTAGCGAACCCTCCGAGGAGGAATCAGTGCGATCTGCGGGCCGCCAGACAGGCCTGAGCGAATTCATGATCGCAGGTACTTCTCTAGACCGCATGCGAGGTTCCATATCAGTTCTCTCGTTTCCAATTGCATAGGCGTCGTACTGGTCTCCGCTGGGCGGATGCCTCTGCTCGTGTGAGAGTATGGTATCAACAGAAGTAGTTGGCCTGACTGTTGCAGTAAGACTATTGCTGAAGTAGTCTTGGAGCCGTTGCGTAGTAGCTTCATTTGCTGGGATCTGGGACAAATATGTGATGTTCCCTATCTGCCCGGCGATATTTCGGATGCAGTTACCATTGCATACAGTCTGCTGGTTGCGAGACATCCGGATGCTGTCAGGGACCACTCCATTTGCACCAGACGTTTGAGCTGCGGTATCGCCATCCCCGTATGCCTCAGCCAACGACAGCAGGAGCTCGTCGACATCGAGTAGAGGAGACAGCGAATGGCCATTCTGACCGTGAGGCGAAGGGTGAGGAGTAGGGCTGACGGCTAGTTAGGTGTGGTCGACCAAGCTGGTACTGAGACACCACCCCACATCGGAATTCCCGCCACTAACCTGTCAGATAGACCTTCTGTAGTCTGCCTTGCACGGGGTTCCATCTGCTAAGCGAGATGCCGGGCGCGCAATGCTGCGGCGCCGTTCGAGACACTGATAATTGTAGCTGGGATAAATGAAGTGGAAGGATTTGCAGAGCTCTACAACATGGAGATCGTGTAGATGTGAGTTACAGTCAAAAAGTTTGAGAAAGTATTAAGCAAGTTAGCATACATTGGGCGTGCAAGGCTTATAAGCAGATCTGTGGATAGACCGAGCATACGCGCATTGCCGGTCCAGGCGTTGAAAGGAGGTAGCAATCCTCCACACGAGCATTTCATCACAAATTCGAGTTCCACATTGAAGTAATGTACACTACGAGTAACAGTATGCTACAAGGCTTACAGTGTGGCGACCGAAATGCAGCGTAGGATCGCGCTGCAGTGTTTGAGGTCTGCAGACATAGCTCTATCACCAAAGTGTGATGTTTGCACAGGGCCTACTGCGCTGCACAGATAATTAGCTCTATCACAGAAGTGTGATCCCTGCACTGGCAGCGGCATCACAGAAGTGTGACTGCACAGGCAGTCCTATCGCTAAAATGTGATGCCTGTTTACTTACATACCAGCCTTATCACAGAAGTATGATGCCTGTCGCGTTTCGTGGTGTGACACTGCTGGCGGGGTCTTACCGCGCAGAGAAACGCGGGAATGTGGCAGCCTTGATGCACCCCCATGCCACAGTTCCACTGCGATGATCGCTTTCCGCGGCGGCTGCACTTGGTTGCCGCCCGCCCGCCGCGCCCCCGTGACTTTGAATGGCTGCCTCCATCAGTGAGTCATTGACTAGCCTTCAGGTGCAGCACTGCCAAAGTCAGCCGAGTAGCATCAGCCAAGAGACGCAGGACGTACATTTGGAGGACGGCCAATTTAGGTGAGAACGAAAGCAAACGAACGAGGTACTGTACCTTCACTACGCCACAGCACATATTGGTACGCCGATGTGCCTTTGGCTGCTCTGGTCTCACTTAAACCTGTCGAGCTATATAGTGCAGGCTCCATGCTGGCAACAAACATTTGGCCATCCGCATATCTTCCGTATCTCCAACAAAGACCTTCAACTATCTGATCAAACCACCTCTTGCAGAATTCGGGAGTACCTAAAGCTCAGCCAAAGTTTCCCCAATCGTTAATTCCTAACCGGCCTAAATCTGTACGGTATTAGACCTCTCCGGCTCGTTTAGTCGTATCCTGAGCTATTCAGGTCTTCACTCTCACTTGTCCTTCCGCTACTCATTTTTAAAATGACAAGGACTCTCCTGGAGGCTCTGACAGAACGCAATGTTCCGCTTAACCCTTCATCGGCCGTTCCGGGAACAAACACCAACGTGGTTGCCATATTTCAACCAGATGACTGGACCCCATGGACGGATTTCAACTATGCCACACTGACCCGGATTTTCCGGAGCGAGTTGGGAGCCACCTATCGCGGTAGTGAGCAGCAGAGACATCTGGAAATGGACACTTTCGCGAATAATGAGGAAGTGTTAGATGACGCTATGAGAAGATTCGTGGCTCCAACAACAAATTATGCTCTGCATTACCAGCCCGGAAGTCCTCATCTTGGTCGTGGGTCCCGTGTCAACGGTGACTATCGCCCCGACTGGTCTGTCATATCCGCGCAACATTTCTCGGACCAGGGTTACTCCAACATCCTGCCGGGGGATACGAAACTCGATGCAAAATGGTCCCCAGGCATGCGCGATACCAACTACGAAGAGTGGCGTAAAGTCATGGCCCAAATTGCGACCTACATGGCATATTTCCAGACGCGATATGGCTTCATCTTGACAGACCAGTATCTCGTGGTTCTTAGACTCACGCAACTACCGACCGGTCCCGGTATCGCTCAAGGACGACCAATACGAAGTACGGCCGTTTATCATCAGGGCCATTACAGGCACTCTTCTGACACGAGTATGGCTTCAGCCCCTCTATCATCATCGCCATACACTGATGACAACCCGGCGAACTGGGAGTATTACAATCCAGAGTATTCCCTGATACCTTGGAGCAGCCATGGGCGCTGTCTGACTGTCAAATTGGCCCTCTGGTGCTTATCGATGATGGCCACAAACGGTGACCGATTCGTGGACTACTCGTACCCAGGTCTCGACACTTGGCGCCGCGATGAGCGAGCAGGCTATGTTCACAATACATCTGGCAAGGCGAAGCGGAAGTTGAGCAGAGACGATGCCTGTCAAGAGCCCGATCCACAGGGACCTACTCGCGAGAATGCCATGATTGAACGGAGCGCCGGGAACACCCTGGGTTCGCCCATGCAGTGTGAACTACCAATACTACCTGCTGTCCACGAGGACGACACCCAGTCATATTACGATCACGACTCGAGTCCTATCGGCGGGCATTCCTCGGGAACGCACGGCCCGCCTGAAACCGATACTACACGACAGGTAGATCCCGGGTCACAAGAAGACCCTGATGCTCCCGACTTTATTGGTAGCGTATCGCCTCAAAGTGGCAGGCGAAGCAAGCGCATACGAGTCACGATTGAAAGCCACACTTTCAGAAACACACTGTACTATAGAGACAGCCATGGAAACAAGATCGACACAGTTGAGAGGGATTGGACAAAGGTGGATGGCGGATACGAGAAACAAGGCCGCAGGCATGTGTACTTCGCGAAGAGCTTTCCAAAATAGTATATTTTTAGGTTATTTTTCTGTCTCAACCTGTCATGTCAGCTACCTTGTACACGGTAGCATGTACCGTGTAACGGGCTAGGCCCGTACAGGTCTCGGTACCCCCTCGGCCATATGTGGAGAGACGCTCCGCGTCTCTCCTGCCACGTTCTTTCTCCTTCCTCTTCACCCCAGAATGCTCGTAGTAGCCGCTCAGCTAGTTGTCAATACAATCAGTTGAGACCGTTACATACCGTGACAGTACCGTACATCCACTGTTGGCACGTTTGGGCTGATACTCAGATGTTCCGAGCATGTTCGGGCCCTGTTGAGGACAGTGGACTGCAATTCCATATGTTTTGTCGTTCACAAGCTTGGAGAGCGGTTGATTCAATGGGGCTTTCAAATCCCGTGCAGACGATGGTACTGATAGATCAAAACGCCAGTCAACAGTGTATATTCTCACACCAGAATCTGTGTTGCGCGCCTTGGTCCGTAGAGATGCGACGACCATCCGAAACCTTGCGGATGTACATACTCGCTATGATCTACGAGCCTGCTTCCACGCCAATTTCTCCGGTCTGGCGACAGCGTGTAACCGAATCCTGCACGATAGAAAAACAAATCCACTTCCTCCACTAGCTCCTGATCATTTTGAGCCCCGGCGACGTATTCGTAAACTATTCCAAAGTAGCTCTTGTCGGTTGAGAACCCGCGTATGAGCTTGTCTACTTTCGTAGTTGGCGGTCGTACTGGATGAGGCATTTTGCGGAAGGCTTGGCCATCAAACTGCAGCCACCCATAACATTGGGTCATTGGCGGAACTGTGGAGATGATCATGTCCCTTTCATCCAAAATGGCCTGCTGACTTTGTCGTATTCGTCGTTGCTCGTCGGAAAAGGCGAGGAGATTGGCTCGGGCGTCGTGATTGGAGCTCGGATTACTCTTGATGATTATCGGTCCGGTGGCAGTCGCTTGCTGCACTGCAGTAACAAGCAACTGTACAAGAGCGGCGTTTTGGCACTCTCGCTGGAAAGCATAATAGTGCATGAGATCGGGCGGCTCGGTGTCATAGAACTGAAACGTCAGATAGGTCCGCTGAGCAAGAGCAAGCGTAACGCGAGCACAAAGATGGCATAGTAAACTTACCACCTTGAGTGCGAATGGGCCGTTCGTACCAAAGTACACCTTCCAAACATACCCATCTAGTCCACCTCCTAGCGGAACAGCTTTATCCCAGTCGACTGTGGATAAGTCGTGGGTGCACTTCCGTAGCCGTGGGCGTTCGAAAGCCGCCTTGGAGCAACAAGGCTTGTCTTCCAGCGGGATGTCATCAGTAGCTCGCATTTGTCGCGCTGTTTTGTCCAGGACCTGCTTTCTGTGTCTTTTATGCTGTCTGCGAGGAGCACTCATGTTGTGTCCGAGCGCTGTCGGTTGCCTTCTTGAAACGCGGCCAGCGAGCTGCTCTTAATCGCACGAGTTTCGCGTCAAATCGGTATTAGAGGTAGTGCAACCATTCTGCAACGGCCGGGAAGCTTCTGGGTGTGCAGGCGTTCTTATTATATAACATGAGCTAACTGAACTGAGTTGCTACAGCTGTTGGCGCTAATTTGATGCCCAGCGTGGGAGCGGGGTCTCGCCGTCTGTAGAACGGGACCGGGTTAACATATAGCCGCCCCACTTCGCATACAATGTGAGCGTAGTAGTTGCCAGCTGGCCCCAAACGTCATCACGCAATTTTGAAAGCAACAGCCGCAAATCGACCGAAAGTCGCCTGCCCATGGCCACAATGCTCTGCACGGATCGAAATGCAGCCTTCGGTTCTGTTTTGATCTCCGTGTGGACGCTTGCTAGGTAGGTTGGCCTAGAGTGGGCCTCGAGCGCGGAACCCTGAGGGCAAACTTATGACCAGGTTGCGTTTCGAGACAGTGAGCAGCACATCAGCGCAGCACGACGACTGAACCCAAACGCCCAACATCAAACTCAACAGCTATCGATAAGGTTACCGGCTTCGCATGCCAGCTTGTTAAAACGACCTACAACGATGAACGGCCGACAGAATGGCCTGAACCCCTCCTGCACGAAAGACGCACCCGACGCCCGGCACGCCTGTGCAACGAAATTACAGACCACAAGACAAAAACTCGTCCACTGTCGCCTACATGGTGGATGATTGGTGCCCCTTGGACGTCTGACAATGTCTGCTGGCCTTTCGTCTGCGGCAACGCTCAGTAATCGCTCGAACTATTGCTCTGTGTGAGCCATGAGATGGGCCAACGCCTGGAGGCGATGGATGGTGGTCAACAGTAGGAAATACAATGCCACTGGGGATCCCAGCATGTCTCGCACCGACAGAGCCGAAACAAATATGTGCAAGCCGACGAATTGAGAGAGCCAACCTGTTCACAGGAATTGGCACATGAATGACTCGTCTAACCAACCCACGGTCTTGAATGCTGTCCACATCTTCGAAGCCTTGTTGACATCAATTTTGCAGGCCTTCTGCGCGTCCGTCTTACGGAACTCTTTGCCAATACGCAGGCATTCCAGCCTCCGCTGAAAGATGTGGCGCTTGCTCGTGAGATATGTCGCACCATCGAGGCGAAGGGTAGAGGCCAGCGTGACTTCTTCCGGATGCAGTAGGTAAGCATATGGGTCGTCTCCTAGGTCAAGTGGCCGACCATCCCAGTCCACCTTCAGGCAGTTCGTCCGACGGGAGAGCGTGTTGAGTGATGGGCTGTAGTCGGGCAGAGCCGTGAAGTCTTTGTCGTTGCGACTAGCTTGGACAACCTGGCATGGCTCTGCCTTTGAGCCACGGTCGCATGAACATATAGCGAACCCGGTAGGTGCCTGAACTTGTCCAGCGTCTTCTCGCACTCGTTTTTCATGAACCACCACCCCTTGCTTGTTACAGTCTGCCATATTGGACTTAGCCATGGCCTGGTATCGCTTGGGTCGGGCGCGCCGATCCGATTCGAGGACAGCTCGGTTTCTCCGCAACCAACCTTTGCGGTCGGCGGTGAAGAGCTTCATGATACGTGAGTGGAAGCGGACAGTACACCCAAGGTCGACCGAAGCCACTAAGACGCTTGTACCTTTCCCGGATTGTGCGTTGATGTTCGCGTTCAGGCTGTGGCAATAGTTAAGAAACTTGCCCGTGTGAATGGGATCGTGCATGCTCTGAGCTGAGGCGGCCTTCGACATTGAGGCTCCTACAGCAATGGCTGGTCAGCCCTGGATGGCCGCAGGTATCATTGTTAACGTGTTCACCTGATGCTCTGCCACGAAGTTGCGGTGGAAGAAGCTTGAATCAGGAAGGATTGATGACAAGGGAAGAGAAGCGGAAGGGTGCTCTGGCATGCATTGTGATGATCGGTCAATGCCCTTTGACGTCTGGTTGTCACAGCGCTGGAACGACTAAAATACAACGCAGGACCGATTGCCTTCAGGATGCTTGAGTCTACCATGTTACCACACTCATCCTGGCACTCCGTTCCAGCCTCCAGCGCTCGAAGTACTGGAGCAGTTTTTGATTCACCACAGTGGGGTCTTAATTTGGTTGCCAAAATTTAGGTACGACAAGGCCAGGGTGAGCACAGGGTGCTACAGAGGCGGCCCATGGCCCCTGCGCTTTAAGCCCACCATCCACTTCTGCGCCCCGTGGAGCTCCACACCATGAAGGTTTACACCCCAAGTCTTCTACACCATCAAGCTTCACACCCCCTCTCATGCTTGCCTAGCGACTGGCGGCTTCGCGAGCGCCGACAAAGGATTATTCTGGGTGTGGCTCGGGAGCTGAGGAGCGAGAGACTGGGCGCTTTGAACGGCCACCTTCCACAATGGAGGCCTGCTGCAGTGTGCGGTGCATACTGTAATTATAATGAGAAGCCAGAACTGCCTCACAGTTGTAAAAAGGTATAGGAGCCGCCAGAAGGGTCTAGGGCCGACACCCCAGACTTCTGCCCAGACCTCTGCCTAGACTTTCCCACCACCTGTCTGTACCTTGGCTCATTCTGAGGTCACGCGGGAAGGAGCCTCTATTAGGAAGTTGACCGTTCATCGCGTCGTCAAAACAGGGAGTCGGCTGAGCCAAACTGCCTCACTACCGGAATGGCGTACAAGCGACCGTGGGAGGGTCTGAGGCCGACACCCTAGACCACCTGTGTCCGTCTGTTCCCCCTCAAATCCTCTCGTGGCAGGATCAACACCGCACTATACGTACGCATCCGAAGATTCGATGCAGGAGTAGACGCACAAATATGTAAGGCTATGTAGTCACGCACCAGGTGTTACCACAATCAAGACTGACCTAGCTCAAGATCTCGACGGCGGCTTCGAGAAGCAGATGTAGGAATTCGTACCACATCCTGAATATTGAAACGATCGAGCATGCGGAGACGTAGGTCAAGGAGAAACCGGTGGCAGTCAGTATGGGGTTCGGAAGAACGCCGCAGCGATAGGAGTCTCAGGACATGGTGGAAATGCTTCTCAAGCAACAGGCCGAGAGGATTGAGAATGAAAGGCGACACTTCATTTTCACTCATGTCTCGAGTCTATTGGGGGCAGGACCCAAGAAAGTTGTAATACATTACATCTAATTCTTCTAGAAGCACGCTTGTTTGCTGACGAGAAACTGGCAAAAAGGCCGCGCTGAATTGCACGAATCTTGTTCCTATCACGGTGCTCTGTAGCGTTTAAGTCCGATTTTATGCCTTCCACGTTTGTATCCACTATATAGCGGCGTCGTACGGTCGAATTTCGAGAAGGTACGATGGCTCGCCAGAAGTCAAGTCGTGCAAATTGCTCTAACGTCGAGAGCGGCCGCCGCAGACGTGGTGCAGCCGAAGTCTGGATTGCCGAAATCACCAGTTCGTTGCTCATCGACACTGATGAAAAGCGTCTGTCAGGGTAGGGGGAGTTCCCGCTCGGGCGTCGTGCATGCCATCACTAGTACTCTGTGATCCGAACTGAGTACGATGGAACTTGCAGAGAGTTTCGGGGGAACTGGGTAGCGAAAACGAAGAACCGGAGCGATTTCTGGACCACTTCGTCCCTTACGCAGCCGTTGAAGCCTGCGTAGGGTGAAGCATGTAGGCTTGCAGGATGAGTGGTGTGAAGCCAAGTCGGCTTCAAGGACGAGTGGTGTGAAGGTCCCAGGATGTGTGGTCTGAAGCAAAATCGGCTTGCAGGACGCGTGGTGTGAAGCATGTAGGCTTGCTGGATGTGTGGTGTGAAGAATGCGGTCTCGCAGGATGTGTGGTGTGAAGCAAAATCGGCTTCCAGGACGCATGGTGTGAAGCTCGCAAGACGAGTGGTGTGAAGCATGTAGGCTTGCAGAACGAGTGGTGTGAAGAATGCAGGCTTGCAGGATGTGTGGTGTGAAACAAAATCGGCCTCCAGGACGAGTGGTGTGAAGCTCGCAGGACGTGTGCTGCAAAGTTGCCCCCGCTGCTCGCAGGCTTTTCCAGCTCATGTCTATCGCTTCTTCGTGATGAGGGATCTCGCATCTAGGTTCTGTCGAAACTGCCAGGGCAAGGGGTAAGACCAGGGTGGGCACAAGGATGCAGACAAGGATTGGTGTCCCCTGTGATTCAGCCCACCAGCAGCTTCTTTGCTTCACACAACACGTCCTGCAAGCCTGCATGCTTCACACCACGCGTCCTGCGAGCTTCACACCTCTCGTCCTGCGAGCCGATTTAGCTTCACACCACACGTCCTGGAAGCCGATTTTGTTTCACACCACATCCTGCAAGTCTGCATTCTTCACACCACACATCCAGCAAGCCTACATGCTTCACACCACGCGTCCTGCAAGCCTTCATTCGTCACACCACTCGTCCTGCAAGCTGCACACGGAACACCCTGCCTAGGACCAGGGGCAAGACCGGGCAGATACAGGGGTGCAGTACATGGATCCGTTTTGTTCAATCAATGGAGCACCACGAGTTTCCACACCGTCGCACTTGACACCCTCGCCATGCTTGTTGCCTGCAACGCTGACAGCCTCGCCTGAGCGCTGACAATGGCTCATGCTGGGTGCGGTCGTGCAGTCGGCGGGAAAATGCCAACCCGCAAAGTTGACCGTCCATCATCAGTCGTTGAAACCCGCTGTAGTATGTAATGGAGCCAAGACTGCCTCATACGAGAGTGGGGGAGACACGGCCGCGGAAGGGTCTAGGAGCGATGCCCCAGACCCTCTGTGTCCGGTCTGTTCCCAACCGGTTTCGTCGAATGACCTGGCCAGCGCTCTACTCTAGGCGTTCACGCCGACGTCATGTATGCTAGGGCGCATGGTTGCCCCCATGAAAAAGAGCATGCTGATGCGTCGGACGGTTGGACTCGGACGAAGAGCGCGAATTCGAATCCGAAAATGACGGAGGCAACTGTCAAAGTCATTTCAACCGGCTCACCCGCAAGGCAATGTCTTGGCTCGGCACAACCAATTGCAAGATCAGGTAGCACGGCAATCAGTCCCTATCAGCTTACGTTGTTCTGACAAATGGGGTGTAGGTGCAGTTGGAGCCTAGAAAACATGTACCTTGGCCGAGACTCTCAGCACCGCTGGAATAGCAAGGCTATCAGTCCCTATCAGCATATGTTGTCGGCACCGCTGGAATCGTTCCGCAATTCGTCGCAATCCGATCGTTGAGTTTGACGACAGACAATACCTGGACCGAACATGCAGCATGGACTTGCTTCCGCAATTGGCGGAGAATGACTTGGAAAGCCCCATGTCCCATGCACCTTGATGCTCTGTTTGTCGCCCTTCTAGACCAATACAATTCAGCATATTTCTAGGCGCTGGTGGAGATGGACCTCGTCAACTGGAAAGATGGGGTCTCTAAGGGGCGATAGTACCGATGACCATGAAAATGTAGCTGCGCAGAATATCTGGACCCAGGACACGCGTCGAATTCTTGGGCGCTTTTCGTGGCCTCGGGGATCTCGTCGTGAGCCAAGCCGGCTCCGTCGAATCCCTTGCGGTATGACGTTAAAGCATTCTGCTGCGTCCCCAATCGTCCGCCTTGGTGCTCCTGCCGTTCACGTTCGCAGATTGACGTCATCGGGACCGTTTCCACGCTGTCGACCAGCGACGCCGATGTTGCATAACCATCTTCCTTGTTATGCTATCGTTCGATAACTTTTTGGGAACTCGAGGTCTCGTTTTACTGTGCAGTTTACTTCGTGACTCTAATGTATATGTTGAGATGCCCATCTTTGTCATTCGAAATCTGCGGCGGAAGGCAGCTGCCACGAAGCGTGGCCGGTAGATAGCTGTTCTGCGGCAGATAGAAACTCATGCTTCTCGTCATCTCCTAGTTTGATTCCTATGTCTAGATTTCTCCGTACGGTAGAAACACCGCTGCCGCTGCTGGAGTGCTCGAATGTAGTCCAAAGTGTGTATGTCTAACTACGCTTCCTCCGCCGTCGCTTGTTTTTCGTTTCGCGCTTGACGCGGACTTCCGGGTCCATTGCCTTCTCTGGCACCCACCAGGACCTATCTTCGTCTGCTCCGTCGAAATTCAAGAACAGTATCTTGTACCACAGTGCTTTGCCCCTGAACTGAGTTTGTAGTATCTCAATCCCGTCCCGGAAACCCCGATAAGTTCTTTTGAGTTCAGCAATGCTCTGGTCAGGGACGT